TGTTAGAAACTGTATATTTCCACATACATATATAGAATTACACATGTAAATGTAAATTTACATGTGTATTTACTGTTGACAATTGTAAATTTATGAAATTGATCCACATTTTACAACTCTAAAAAATACTTACATATGTAAATGTACATTTTAATAAAAAAAATACTAACATTTACAGAATTGAAGATTTGCATTTTACAATGTACTTTTAAAAATTGTAAATTTTCTCATACAAATATACTTATAACATGTAAATATAAATTTGAACTGAAGCATATATTATAAATTTACACATAAATTTGCATATTTAATTACACATAACAGTTGTAAATTTACGCAATTCTTTACTTACATTTTACAATATACATTTAAAAGTTGTAAATCTCGAATATCCAAAAATATAAAGTTACATTTATTTACAGTTGGCAACTGTAAATTTCTATGCGCATACCTAGAATTATCTATGCAATTGTAAATTTTAACCAAAATTACCAACATACATACAAAAATATAAATTTTATCAAAAAATACTTAACCAATATGCCTTTATAAATGTAAATTTACATGTGTATTTACTGTTCACAATTGGAAATTTATGTAAATGTACATTTTAACAAAAAAATACCAACATTTACGGAATTGAAGATTTACATTTTACAATTTACTTTTAAAAAATTTTAAATTTCCTCATACAAATATACTTATAACATGTAAATGTAAAATTTAACTGAAGCATATATTAGTGTAAATTTACACATCAATTTGTATATTTATTTATACTTAACAGTTGTAAATTTGCACAATTCTTTACTTACACTTTACAATACACATTTAAAAATTGTAAATCTCTTCCAAAAATATAAAGTTACATTTATCTACAGTTGGCAACTGTGAATTTCTATGTGCAAATCTAGAATTATCTATGTAACTGTAAATTTTAACTAAAATTACCAGTATGCATACAAAAATGTAAATTTTATCAAAAAATACTTAACCAATATGCCTTTATAAATGTAAATTTACATGTGTATTTACTGTTGACAATTGGAAATTTATGGAATTGATATACATTTTACAACTCTACAAAATACCTATATAAGTAAATGTACATTTTAACAAAAAAAAATACCAATATTTATTTACGGAACTGAAGATTTGCATTTTACAATTTACTTTTAAAAATTGTAAATTTCCTCATACAAATATACTTATAACATGTAAATATAAATTTGAACTGAAGCATATATTGTAAATTTACACATAAATTTGCATATTTATTTACTCATAACAATTGTAAATTTACACAATACTTACACTTTACAATACACATTCAAAAATTGTAAATCTTTCCCAAAAATATAAAGTTGCATTTATTTACACTTGGCAACTGTAAATTTATATGCACATATCTAAAATTATATATGTAATTCTAAATTTTAACCAAAATTACCAGTATGCATACAAAAATGTAAATTTTATCAAAAAATTTCTAACCAATATGCATTTATAAATGTAAATTTACACAGCCGAATATTTACATTTTACAATTAATTATTAAAAATTGTAGATTTTCAATGTAAATGGTGTATGCAAACATAAATTTACAAGTGCATTTATAACTGTAAATTTACATATGTAGTTATGAACTCACCAAATTAAACATAAATCATATACCTAACTTCTACTTTTGCTAGCATGTTTCTATTTCTGTTTGCGTATTATTCAGGTCGTAACAACCAGGAAGTCCAAAAGGGCATAATCCCGAACAAATCCCGGGCGGAAGAACTGGCCACCGCCCAGTTCAACGCAACCAAAAAGGAAATGTCAGCCAACGAATCTAGGGGCAGCTTCTTTAAAAGACGGAGGAGCTCTAATAGAAGATCTAAAAGTCTGGGCAAGGAACACTGGGACGATATACTGTTTTCCGATACCGTCTCCAAATTCCCAGCTTACGAGAGAGTATTGTTGAAACATCCTGGGTTCACCAGGCCCGTGATACTTTTCGGACCAATAGCAGATGTCGCGAGGGAGAAATTGTTGAAGGACTTTCCCGATAAGTTTATTTCACCACGTAAGTAGAATGTATTTATATACTTTCGAAAGTAAATCATTTTCTTTATGATTTTCTCACACATAGTCGAACCGGTAATATTTCTTTAGGTGTCTTATTTAATTTACCAGATGGAAATGTAAATTTACTTTTGTCTTGGTAAATTAGCAGTTGGTAATTGTAAATTTACAATTTCTATTATTAATTTATGTGTGTCTTACATGTAATTAAATCAGCAATGTTTCTCTAGGTATACATTGTAAATAAACACACAAAATTGTAAATTTACATTTGGTAGTTGTAAATTTACGTTTTCTGTAGTTTAATTTTAATGTATCTTACATGCAATGCACCGTAAATTAAGAGATGAAAATGTAAATTTACATTTGCCAGCCGTCAATTAGTTTATTCACTCTTAGGATTGTAATTTAGATTTTGTCTTAATTTTTACGTACCTCACATGTAATTAAATCAATATTTCTCTAACTATTTGTTGTAAATTAGGAAATGGAAATTTACATTTTCTCTGTGTATCGTAACATATAATTAAATCAGCAATATTTCTCTAGGTGAATATGTAAATTTATAAATGTAATTATAAATTTACATTTTCTCTTAATTTTCACGAGTTTTAGATACATATATCATATTAGCCAAGTTTCTACTGCAAATTAAAATGTGATAGTATAAATTTACATTTACCTACTATCTTGGGTAATTGGCAGTTGGTAATTGTAAATTTACATTTTCTATGTTAATTTCTGAATATCTTATATCAAGTTAGTCATATTTTTCTAAATATACGTTTTAAATTAGCTATTGAGAATGTAAATTTACATTCAACATTGTAAATTAACAAGTGAAAATGTAAATTAATTGTAAATTTACATTTTCTCTTAATTTTCACGGTCTTACATACATATAATCATATTAGCCAAATTTCTACTGCAAACTAAAATGTGACATAAATTTACATTTGCCTATTGTCTTGGGTAATTGGCAGTTAGTAATTGTAAATTTACATTTTCTATGTTAATTTCGAAATATCTTATATCAAGTTAGCCATATTTTTCTAAATATACGTTTTAAATTAGCTAATGAGAATGTAAATTTACATTCATACATTGTAAAGTAACAAGCGAAAATGTAAATTAATTGTAAATTTACATTTTTTTTTGAATTTTCACGGTCTTACATACATATAATCATATTAGCCAAGTTTCTACTGCAAATTAAAATGTGACAAATTTACATTTGCCTACTGTCTTGGGTAATTGGCAGTTAGTAATTGTAAATTTACATTCTCTATGTTAATTTCTAAATATCTTATATCAAGTTAGCCATATTTTTCTAAATATACATTTTAAATTAGCTAATGAGAATGTAAATTTACATTGCTAATTGTAAATTTACATTTTTTCTTAATTTTCACGTGTCTTACATGCACATAATCATATTAGCCAAGTTTCTACTGCAAATTAAAATGTGAAAGTATAANGGCTGAAAAAAGTGACATTTTATAAACTAAAGTTGACGTGTCCGATGATTTCCTGTCAAAACCCTTCAATAACGATTTTTCGAATTTATTCCAAACTTTACGAGCTCTATGTATTATTAAATCAGCAATATTTCTCTAGGTGAAAATGTAAATTTATAAAGTTAATTGTAAATTTATATTTTCTCTTAATTTTCACGTGTCTTACATACATATAATCATATTAGCCAAGTTTTTATTGCAAATTAAAATGTGAAAATATAAATTTACATTTGCCTACTGTCTTGGTAATTATAAATTTACATTTTCTATGTTAATTTCTGAATATCGTATATCAAATTAGCCATATTTACTAAGCTAAATATACAGGGTAGGAAAAATATACAGGTAGTGTAAATTTACATTCTCAATAGCTAATTTAAAATGTACAGGGTAGGAAAGTACCGATGGTCTATCTGAAGTTACGTGAGAGCGATAAAGAAAGTCATAGAAATCCGTGCGATAGAGGAAGATGGCTATAATGAAAGCGTCTAATAGTCCGTTTCGACCTTTCACAAATAAGATCCACTTCTTATTTGTGGAAGGGCGAAATGGCCGGTGACTATTAGACGCCTTCACTATATCCATTCTTGTCTATCACATGGATTTCTATGGCTTACTTTATAATGCAGATTTCAGAAATGTAATAATATACAGGGTATTCCATTTGAAAATCGAAAGTTGGTATCACTTCCGGCGAAACCGGAAGTGGAAAAAAAATCATTTGTAGATCAAAATGTGCCGCTTATTATGTATTTGGAATATCCCAAATTTCAATCAATTACCTTTAAAACTAACGGAGATACGGGGGGTGTACCATGATCCTGTTACACCTGGTATATAATCATATTATCCAAGTTTCTACTGCAAATTAAAATGTGAAAGTATAAATTTGCATTTGCCTACTGTCTTGGGTAATTGGCAGTTGGTAATTGTAAATTTACATTCTCTATGTTAATTTCTGAATATCCTATACCAAGTTAGCCATATTTTTCTAATTATACGTTTTAAATTAGCTATTGAGAATATAAATTTACATTCATGCATTGTAAATTAACAAGTGAAAATGTAAATTTATATTGCTAATTGTAAATTTACATTTTCTCTTAATTTGCACGGGTCTTACATTCTTATAATCATATTAGCCAAGTTTCTACTGCAAATTAAAATGTGAAAGTATAAATTTACATTCTCTATGTTAATTTCTGAATATCTTATATTAAGTTAGCCATATTTTTCTAAATATACGTTTTAAATTAGCTATTGAGAATGTAAATAATTTACATTCATACATTATAAATTAACAAGGGAAAATGTAAATTTATATTGGTAATTGTAAATTTACATTTTCTCTTAATTTTCATGTGTCTTACATACATATAATCAGATTAGCCAAGTTTCTACTGCAAATTAAAATGTGAAAATATAAATTTACATTTGCTTAATGTCTTGGATAATTGGCCGTTGGTAATTGTAAATTTACATTTTCTATGGTTATTTCTGAATAACTTATATCAAATTAGCCATATTTTTCTAAATACGTTTTAAATTAGCTATTGAGAAAGTAAATTTACATTCATAAATTGTAAATTAACAAGTAAAAATGTAAATTTATATTGCTAATTGTAAATTCACATGTTCTCTTAATTTTCATGTGTCTTACATACATATAATCAGATTAGCCAAGTTTCTACTGCAAATTAAAAGATACTAATGTAAATTTACATTTGCCTACCCTCTTGGGTAACTGGCAGTTGGTAATTATAAACTTACATTTTCCGTGTTAATTGTAATTTACATTTTCTCTTAATTTCTGTGAATCTTGCAATCGAATCAGCAATATTTCTCTAGATACTACTGTAAATTAAGGGATAAAACTGTAAATATACATTTGCCAACTGTGTGAGGTAGTTGACAGTTGGTAATTGTAAATTTACATTTTCCACCGTTAATTTCCATGTGTTCTGTATAAATTTACAATTTCAGCATTCAGTCATTGATTAAACAAATTAAATATTTTTAGAGCTGGACGCAACAGTGGAAGAAACCAGCTCCAAGCATAAGTCCTCGACGAACTCGAATATCATAAGACTGTCTGCCATAAGGGACGTCATATCGACGGGAAAGCACGCCTTGCTCGACATCACCCCCAATGCGGTGGAAAGGCTTAATTACGCGCAGATGNTTTACAAGATAATTGAGAATTTACATTTTGTAATTCAGTGACAACATTAATAATTTCCATGTGCAAATGTAAAATTATCTGCACGAATTTGTTTTCTCTTTTTTCAAAAATACCATGTCCACAAATGTAAATTTACAAGATAATTGAGGATTTATAGTTTTCAATTCACTGTCAAAATTTAAAAATTTCCTGGTATAATCCTCCGATGTCAGTTGAACGTATATAAAAACGCCTAATAATAAAATTTAATGAGTTTCATAGGCGTCCCTAAAAAAGTTTTCTGCTACAGTTAAAAAATTATAATAATTTGTCCATAATGTGTAGAAAATGGTTATGATATCAAAAACCATTTACATTTTCATTAAAATATATTACTGCTCGGCAAGAACCAATGGGAAGATATGAACATATCCTTGCCAGGAAAGGATGAGGAAAGGTTGTTAGTTTAGGTTAGAAAAGTTATTAAATAAAAATAATCAACAATGAAATAATTCCACATTGCTGCACTGCACTGCTAGGCAATTTGTCAACAACTGAAATTTATGGCCGATCGCCCAGTGCGGTTGTGTTTGTTCGACGTACATTTTCCACCGTTAATTTCCATGTGTTCTGTATAAATTTACAATTTCAGCATTCAGTCATTGATTAAACAAATTAAATATTTTTAGAGCTGGACGCAACAGTGGAAGAAACCAGCTCA